CCAAATCAGCCCAAGTCTGAAAACCCATAAACAAAATAGGACAGGCACGATAGACATGGGTGACTATGACAGACTCTCCAACTGGGGTAGAAACATGGATGGGGGCATCAAGTATATCACAAATCATAGCAAATTCTGAGGCAAATCGCATGAATACATAAGAATAAGTAGAACCCGAATCAAATAACATATTAGCCATCTGGTCACAGACAAGAATAGTACATGTGATCACTGCGTCTGACGCCTCTGCCTCATTCTTACCCGGAAAGGCGTAATACTGAGCCCTATCGTCATGTCGAGCGACTTTTCTGCCTGGTTGCACGTCCTCTGCCTGCGTTACCATTTCCTCTATCCCACGACCTCGCTGATTACCTCCTCGCCCACCTTGTGGACGTCCTCGACCACTATTACCATTTCCCGCGGGTACCATTGCTCTAGTCTGCTACTGCGCAGAATCCATCACGCGCGGGTGGGGATAATCTCTCCTCATATGTTCAGGTTCTCCACAATTGTAGCAAGTACAATCAAAAGATTCCTTGCTGCCTGCTGAAGGTGCGACTCCTTGGCTATCGTGAATCAAATTATGAGGTGGAGTTCCCGAGTAATTACCTGTAGAGGCGGGCATAACAGACTGAATTGGCTTGGCTGCAAGCATTGGCCTTCCGGACCCCCTGGAGTAAGAACCCTGAAAGTTATCCGAGTTCTTGGCCCTTTTAGCCAATTCCTTAGCCTGACCGTCTCGCCTCACTCTCTCCACTTTCTTAACAAAGTATGTTACTTCATTAAAGCTCCTCCCTGCAGAGGTCATATGAACAGATAATACCTACAACTCAGAGTTTAGTCCCCTAATAAATAAACAAATTCTCTCCTCCTCAGTAGTCACCAATTGAGTAGCATATCTAGACAAAACATGGAACTTGGCCTCATAAGCAGCCACATACATCCCGCCTTGCTCCAAAGCCATGAACTCATCCTTCTTGCGATTTCTCAAAGTCCTAGACACATATTTCTCTAAAAACAGAGCATGAAATTGGGTCAAAGTAAGTGGAGATAAAACTGAAGATTTGCATTCCACATAAGCTCTCCACCACTGCTTAGTCTTACCTTGACGTTGAAAAGTCACAAACTCAATCCCATGCTGATGGACAATTCCCAACTTATGAAGCCTCTCATAGTCTAAAATAAACTGATAAGCATCCTCACTCTCAGAACCAAGGAACACATGCAGTTTCAACTTCAAGAACTTAGTCAACATCTCATGCTCATTACCAGTCATAACATGACCCAATAAAGAACGGAAGAAAACATTATCACCTCCAGTTCCACCCACCTTGGGCACAGTGATAGCAACAGGGGGATTGACAGGAGTTTGAGTTGCTTGAACAGAGGGAAGCACTCCAGGACCAACCAACCCTTTCAAGAATGACATGATCTGCTGAGCTAACACTGGGTCCAAAAAAGGAATACTTGTAGTCTCGACATGCACCTCTTCCTCTTGCCCAATATTTTCCTCATTATCAACCTCTATGTTCTCCTCTACCTCTTCATGATGCGCATGAGGGGCCTCATTTCTGGGAGCATATCTAACCGGTGCTTCATCCCTAGTAGGTGTTGCCCTTCCTCGGCCTCTACCCCTAGCTCTTCATCTACCTCTGCCTCGACCGCGACCTCTCGCTACAGATTCCTAAGCTGGAGCATTGACGGGAGCTACGGGCCTAATGCCGTTGCATCTAGTGTTAACCATCTGCAGACAGAAGAGTGAATGAGGTTAGATACCAATTTGAATCGCCAGATACCAATTGGAATCAAGTTATAGCACGAAAGGAGACAAAAGAAAATAAAGAGATTTCCTAAAGTCCTATAGCCTCTAGAAGAAAAATACTGACGTCTCCATACCGTTCCGCAAGACTATACTAGACTCGTTTTGGTACATCGAGATCAACAAACGTAGGCTCTGATACCAACTTTGTCACGACCCAGACCATCGTAATTGGCACCCACACTAACCCTCCAGTGGGAGAACCATTAATACTAATTAGCTAACCAACCTAATCAAAATACTAAAACATTTAAGTTACGGAAGCAAGTTAAATGCTAAGGAAAGAAATATAGAGTTCCCATAAACTCCAAACAAAAGTCTAACAACTAAAACAAATGCGGAAGTAATCACCTAGAACGAGAAAGTCAAAGTACCAAAACTCTACCAAGATCCATAAATCTAAACAAGAAGGGTCACAACCCCAAACTAATGTGCTAACAACTAACTAGAAAATCTAAGTCCGAAATGTGGACATAGACAGAAAGAGAACTCATGGCCGCCCGGAAGAACTGGCTCACCCTTGAATTCGAACGATGATCACTGATCTTCTAAGTGAGGTAAGTCAATGGCCGCTTGAAGATGCCATGTACTCAACAAAGAAAGAGCAAGTGCAGTATCAGTACACAACCATAGTGTACTGGTAGGATCACACGACTATCCCACTAAGTGCAACATACATAAGTCAATACAACAATACAATAACATACATACATCGAACATATACAATATCATCAACAATTACGAACAACGAACAGTTTCACAATTCTCAAATATCATAGTTATATCAAGTCATTGGCCCAAACTGTTAGCATATCGAAACGTGGTACCCGATCCAATGATTATGCCGAAAAGTGGTAACCGATCTCATAATTATGCCGAAACATGGCAACCGATCCAAGTTAATGTATCGGAACGCAACACCCGATCCATTCAACAAGCCACAATCACAATCACAAGTATATTCTCATAATCATGCAATCAAGTCATGATTCATGACATTCATTATTCATCTATCCTAATTTACAATTAATATGATCAATAATGCAACATTGGCATACATACATGTATCATAATGAAGCAAGAACAAACATACATCACACAATCATAGAATCACAACCATCACCTACCTCAAATAAAGCTTGAATCCTCTAAGAAACTTGATTCTTCCCTTTTCAGATTCGTTTCGATTGTTCTTGGTCTACAAATGATCAATATAACATGGGAATCAATAAACAATAACTAATTTCCCGAATTACTAACAATTCTATCAACCCAAGATCATACTCATGGTCCCAATATTCAAATTAGGGGTTTTTCCACCATAATTCCCATATCAAAACCCTTCCCTATTGATAATTACCCATTAGATTACGTTCTACGGATCGAAAAATGGATTCGGGGAGTTAAAATCTTACCTTTAGCCTCACGAATGGTGAAAAACTATCAAGAAAACTCTGGGTTCGTTCCTTAGCTCTCAAGTTCGAAAAATACATCATAAAACGTTTTTGAGGTTTATTTCCGACTTTAAGTCGCGACTGTCCCGCCACAGCGATACTCCCCCCGCTACATCGACCCCGCCCTGGCGACAGAAATCCCGCCTCAGCGGCTTGCACGAAGACAAAGAGCTTAATAAAGAATTCCAAAACCCTATTTCACCACACCTTCAACCAACGACACTCAGAAACTACCCGTTCACACTAAGATTAATTTCGGGAGTTCTACTCACCCGAATTCAATTCCGTAAAGTCGTACGGGTTCCTTAACGTCTTAGCTATCTACTCATGTAATCAAAATCATAATTAAATCTCCCAATTGCTACCAGATTTCCCTAGACCTCACAGATTTCGATTTTGTTCAAATCTGGACTAGGTTGGGAAATCCCAAGTTACTACGAAAAAATTTTCCGGCCCAAATATTTTTCCCATTGGCTTTTCTATAACGATAGGAATAGGTCATTACAATAACACATAATTAAAATTTATTTATAATATAAATAGATAATCATTTAAATATTTATCATGAAAAATATTTTTATTTTTATTAATCATCTTTTTTATTACCTACAATAAAATGTGTTTATAAAGTTAGGACTCTTTTATCATTTTCACTTTTTTTAATTAAGTAAATAAATATTAAAGTTTGATTGTTTTTCTTATTGTGCTTATTTATTTCAATATAGAAGATTTTAAGTTAATACTCAATAGCAGTATTTTCATTAGGAAAATAATATTTATCTTTTTATAGGTAAATTTGTTACATCAATTTTTAAAAAGAAAAAAATAGGAAAAACTACAACATATTTCACTACCATATATACTATTATTACATCTACTTTCAAAATATTACGTATCTTACACTTAGATATATGTATTTTGCTATTAGATACACAAAAATAGGGAGAAGACGAACGAGATTGGAGAGAGAGGCGAGCGAGATACATGTGAATCACACTAGATATACACTAGATACGTATTTGTATGTATAAATTTCGATTCGGTAAATTAAATTTCGATTTGGTATGGTATTCGGTAATACCGCATTGAAGTAGTAGCCGATTGTATTACAAAGTTAATACTATTTTCCAATCATTTCTAAATTTTTTTGTGGAGCCACGATATAATAGAAGATCAATAAGTAAAAAGACATCAAGAAAAACAAATTGATACAAACTAAAAGACATGTATTTGAGTTGTTTATGTTCATTCTTTAACTTTCTTCTTTGGACTTGTACTAATGAGAAATGGACATGTTGCTACATGATCTTCATTAAGTAAGTAATTCGGGAGATACCAAATATCAAATGGTACTAATGTCTCATACCAAACTCAAATCTAAATACCATAATTCGAAAAATTTACTCCCAAATACCATACCGAATACCCAATTACTAAAAATTTTGGTTCGATTCGATAATTTGATTTTCGATATTTTATGTTCAATCCTACTTAAATTTAACCTCATCTATCCGAGATATATATATCTAGACATATTTGGAGGCACCAACATTTGACAAAGATACATAATATTGCAAACTAGAGTGCATCTAAACTATTGAGATTTATGTAAGTTCTCAAAAAAATATCATAATTTTAAAGAAGTAAAAATAAATAAATACTGATAATGTACTGGTAAAATGAATATTTAAAAAAATACAATTAATATAATTTCAACCCAATTTTTCTTTTTCACAAGTGCATCATCTACTTGCAATAAGGGGAAGTGCGAAGGCTAAGAGCACAAACACCTGCGTAAAGTCGAAGCTAGTAGGTCGAACTCATCAATGGCGGATTCAATACCACAAAGCAGATCAAGGGACCTCGATAAGCTCCTTCTCCGGCCCGGAAATCTCGTCGGACCGACCTTCGAGGCCGGCGCTCAGGTAAACCCCCCAATCCAAACGCTACTCCTTTTTTCTCGAACGATTGTGTTGCATTACCTTATGATTATAAGTTTGATCTCTTGTTTTACAGTTGAGAGATGATATAAAGGAGTGCGTAAGAGTGTTGGTGATAGGTGCTGGTGGATTAGGTTGCGAATTACTCAAGGATTTGGCTTTTTCAGGGTTTCAAAACCTTGAGGTTATTGATATGGACCGAATTGAAGTTACCAATCTAAATCGCCAATTTCTGTTCAGGTGCGTTAGTTTATTCCGAGTTGTGTAGTTTATGACATTATGCTATTCGAATTTATTGTTGAGTTCGTAATGTGTGTATTATAATGAAGTCCTAATTCATAAAGATTGAGTTTTGATCTCATGGTTTGTCTCCAGAGCAATTTTCCTTTATCTATGCAAACCCAGCTCAAAATTATACTTAGTACATAATGAGAGCAAAAGAACCAATAGGCAATACAATCTAGTTGGCATTGTGGCTCAATTTGTTTGCTGCTCTGCATTAGGTCAGATGCTTTCCTGGAGTCTTTTTAGCCCAGTTCAAAGCTCGTTTATCAGTGTAGAGCTATGTATGAGACAACAACAACATACCCACTGCAATCCCATAAGTTGGATCTGTGGAGGATAGTATGTACACATATCTTATCCCTACCTTGTAAGGCTGTGTATGAGAATCAGAAAAAAAAAATCTAGTTTTAAAGGTCCGTAATTTACTTAAACAAACACATTATGAAGTATTGTAATGAAGTTACTAATCTCACTAGATAACATTTATTCATGTGCAGAATATTTCTTGAGTAGCTGGTGTTTGAAATTATGCGAATCGAACTTATGGTTAGATTCTTATTGCTTGTATTGTTGAAATTATAATTTTTATTCACTTCTTCGAAAAGTAGTTTAGGGTTCCAAAACCTAAGAAGAAGTGAGTGGTGTGGGGGGTACAAGTCACATTTTTTATTTGTGTGACAGACATGATGTTCGAGGAGGATTGTCCTTATCCCTGTTCATAAAAGGAAGATTATCCTTCTGTTTTGGTAGTTTCTTGTGTATGATCAGAGTTATTGACAAAAACAAAATTTTTAAGTCGGCAATCACTTTGGATTTAGGGATATATGTAATTCCCTCAGTTTTATGCTTGCAGTTACAATTTTGTTTATAAATTTGAGCAATAATATGTCTGCTAAAATTTCATTCTTTTTCCAATGTAGACTTGGAGATGTGGGAAAACCAAAGGCAGAAGTTGCTGCAAAAAGAGTGATGGAGAGAGTCAGTGGTGTAGATATCAAGTCACATTTCTGTCGGATTGAGGACAAACCTATAAGCTTCTACAATGATTTCCATATTATTGTTCTTGGTCTTGATTCTATTGAGGCTCGAAGCTATATAAATTCTGTTGCTTGCAGCTTTCTAGGTTTGTCTTTTCTTATGCTTTCAAACATGTTGCACGGGCTGCATTGGCTTGATCAAATTTCGTTTTCCGAGTACTTTATCTAAATGCCTCCCTGTTGTGCCTTTTCTTATGATTGCTTAGGAGAACAAAAGTTTCTAATTGTGTAGTTGCAGATTGCTAGAACTTTTTGATCTCATCCCCTCTCTCCCTTCATTTTATTGCTGATTTAAAATATTGTGTGGGTGAATTGGAAGGTTGTAAGTGATACTTCTTTGTAAAATCTCAGAGCCAGTCCTTTTTCTTTCTTTGATAAATAAAATGGATAGCTTTTTTTTGTACTGTGGACCGTCAGGTCCTTAGGTTTCTAGCTAGATGTCTCTAGTCTAAATATAGAATGACCCCAGATCAACAATGAGACAATTATATATCCAGTTCTATTTCCAAAGTTACCTATTTAAAAAAAAATCCAGTTCTATTTCCCTGCCATTTATGACACATGCTTACTGTGACCAATTTCTATAACTTCTATTAAGGCCAAAATGGAAATAAGAAAGGGAAATAAATGTGAAGTAACAACTATTAGATTCTAGTATGAAGATAGAGTAGTTTGACTTGGATATTTGTCTAAGCATCAAGATGTGAAAACAAAGAATTTGAGGTCTGTGCTGCATGGATTTGGACAAAGATGTTTCTTACATCTTATGTTCCTCATATTTGTATATAATCAACTAGTCTATGTGCCTATTTTTAAGAGCGCTCAAGTTTGAAGATTGCGTTCAGCTACTGAAATGAGTAACATATTAAACAGTTTCAAATTGAATAAACCAACTGTACATTCATGAGAGAAAAATATGCATGGTTTGTTGTTTGCATTTGAATTTGGAAGAGGAAAATGTTTTCTTTTTGAAACTGATGCCATGTATTCATCAGCATTAAGGGTATGCTAGGACTATGGATGTACTTGGTCTTCTTAATGCTATCAGTTTATTTGATTGTTTGAAACATAACTTTGAACTTCTCTTCTAATATGGGGTAGATGCAAATAGAGTGGGAATGCGCCTCTTTTTCCTGATTTAATGGACCAAGCCACTAAAGGTATTTGCTAAGCTAGATCCCTAGAAAATGCTCAAATTCGAAAAAGAGAAAAGAAGCTCCACACATGAAACAGACAAACAAACAACATATCAGTGTAATCCCACAAGTGGGGTCTGGGGAACGTAAGATGTAGGCAGATGCCGCAGACCATACCTCTACCTTTGCAAGGAAGAAAAACTGTTTTTGATTGACCCTCGACTCAAACAAATTGTAATTGATGCAGGAAAGAAAGAAACGAAAAGAGACAACAAAACAACAAATGTACAAAACAAGTGTAGCAACAAAGTAATAAACATTGGAGAAAAGGAAACTACTTGATACCTAAATTATACTACTAGAAGTGGGACAATACTCGACTACCTACTAACTTTACCTTAGTTCTCGACCTCTATACCTTCATATCAAAGTTCACGTTCTTAGTTAGTTAAAGTTGTGTCATGTCATGTCTAATCACTTCCTCCTAGTTCTTCTTCGGCGTACCTATACCTTTCCAAACTTTTGCTACAACTAACCTTATCACACCTTCTTTTCACATGTATGAAACTTCTCAACCTTGCTTATATAATCTTGTTCACTACGGAGGCCACTCCCATATTATTCCGTTTAACTTTGATCTTAATTATCTCTCTTAATATGCTCACACATCCATCTGAGCATCTTCATCTTTGGTACCTTCATCTTCTGAATGTGGGCATTTTTTACTGGCCAACACTTTGCCCTATACGATAGTGTTGGTTTAACCACCACCCTATAGAACTTACCTTTAAGCCTTAACGACGCATTCTTACCGCACTATACCCTACAGTTGAGCCTCCGTTTCACCCACCCCGCTTAATGCGGTGTGTGACAATATCGCCAATCCCCATCTCCTTGAATTATGGACCAAAGATACTTGAAAATTTCTCTCTTTAGGTATAACTAGTGCATCAATCTTTATTTCCACCACTGCCTCATGCGTCATGTCACTGAATTTGCACTCTGGGTACTCTTTAGTCTATGGGTGTGGTCAGTGGTCAATGATATGGGTTGATTCATGAGCTCTTAGGTTCAAATCCTAGTAAAATTAGAAACACTTAGTTATTTCTTCTCATCTGTCATAGCATTGGTGGATAGAGTTATCCAGTACCTGTTGTTGGTGGGAGGTGGCAGGTATCTCGTGGAATTAATCGATGTGTGCACAAGTTGGCTCTAACATCACAATTGTTTGAAAATTAACCTTGATCAAGAAATTACCTTAATTTTTAAAAAAACATTACATTATAAAAGACTATCTATAGCTCGCGAAATGTGGATAGCTCAAGATAACCTTCAGAGAAGAGGGGTGACCATTTGTAGTAGGTGTGAATTGTGTGAGAGGCATAATGGGGATGTTGATCACCTTTTTAATCACTTCATTCGCTAGACAGCTCTGAGATTTTATCCTGAACATCTTGGGGGTTCAACTGGACAATGCCAAGAACGACAAAAGAACTACCACAATGCTGGTACTTGATACTTGATAGGGCTGGGCAAGGCAGAAAACATGTCCTTCAGCAGTTTGGTGGACTATTTGGAAGGAAAGGAATACAATAATTTCTGAAAGCAAATTAGAATGTCGTTAGTATAAGTATAGATGTTTTTCGGGATAATTTCTAAAAAGTACAATTAAGTAACTTACATTGCAAAAACATAGCCCAACACTTACATTGCAATTTTTTAGCCCAAACTATAAGTACTTTCCAATAGGAAAATGTTTTTCCATTACAATAGTTTGCACAAAACCACATTCCAGGAAATCTTCCTTCCATTATATCATTATTTTCTTACAACAGTGTTTAAAGTTTTTGATATACAATAGTATACAAAACTTCAATTTTATTTTTTTACAACAATGATTAAAAAAATCCGATATACAACATTATACAAAATTACAAGAGATGCTTATACACCCATATACAATACTATACAACATAATGCGCTATTGTACAATAAACTGACTTGATCTTCTTCCTTGAATCCAAGCACCAGATTCATCCAAAAACACCTAAAAAGAATTACACCAAAGCACCCAAAATTTTAGATTTAGGCTTTTCAATATGTAACAAGTCTTCTGCAATAATACCCACTTGAAATAGAGCTTATTTGCGGAAATTCGATTTTCAAACTTTGAAGCTTCGAGCTTCAATAATGGTTGAACGGCAATTTTTACTTATATTATATCAAAGTTTCAATATAGGTTAGGATGTTAGGTTGGTAGATCTTTCTATTAGTTTGTCGTGCAATAGGAGAACCTAATTTATAGAAGTTACTGCGTGCAGAAAAAAATCTGCCGAAAAGAATATTGTGCAATTTTGCTTCAAAAACAAAAGAACTCCACAATTCAACATATCTAAGCACTACAATTTAGAACTGTCATGAAATTGGGTCAATTCAGGTAAGCATTGAAACTTTGGCTAAATTATGTAAAGTAACTTTATGGGCTGCACTAGAGTGTAATTATCTCATGTTTTTCCCTACTGTTTTTTGTATGACATGGCAATTGCAAATGATATAGAGGCCATGGTAGGTATCTTTGAGCTCATTACACAATATGTAATGTCGCTACTCCTTGTAAATACTTCACAGCACCTTCTTGTTATTGGTCACTCCATAATCATCGGATATACTCAATATTTTCAATATCTTTGGTGCTCTATTTATTTTCTTATTGAAATGTGTAATTTTTTGCAATTTATCTTAAATATATATAATTTTACATTTTATACCTTAATTTCAAATTCACTTGACATTATTTCAAAAAATATATAATCTTAGAAATAACAGAATAAGGTTATTTAAGGAATGGAATCATCTTTGCAAGAGGGGAAGGGTAAGACCATCTCAGACCAGCCCTTCCTGGAGGGGCCCCTTTTATTATATAGGAGCAGCAAATGAATTAAACATACATGACATAAGAAGATACCAATGTGAAGAGGGAAGTAGAATATCTGATTGGATAAATTCCAACTAAAGATATTCAACTAATTAGGCATTTTCAGAATCCAAAGGATGGGTTGTTGTAGCTCTTTCACTCCCTACGAAATGTGTCTTATGATCCTGGCTAGTTTTCATACGTAGTGCAAGGTGGTTCTTGAAAGTGTACTAAATTAGCTCACCCATCCGACGTTTCATGCAGAGTACGATTCTGATGACAACCCACAGGAAGAGTCAATTAAGCCTATGGTTGATGGTGGGACTGAAGGATTCAAGGGCCATGCAAGGATTATAATGCCAGGTGTCACCCCTTGCTTTGAGTGTACAATATGGCTCTTTCCCCCACAAGTGAAGTTTCCCTTGTGTACTCTTGCTGAGACTCCTAGAACTGCTGCTCACTGCATTGAGTATGCACATTTAATCAAATGGGATGAGGTAACTATTGAAGCTCGCATCCCCTGTTTTTCCAAATTTCTAGACCAAGTGCTCTGTCATTTCATCCTAAAAGTTTTATGCAGGCTCATAGTGGCAAAACATTTGATCCAGATGATCCTGAACACATGCAATGGGTGTATTCAGAGGTTGCAATTTATGTTCTTTGCTTTCTCCATTCCTATTACTTAAGTCATATGCAATTATTTCTCATGTTCCTTTTTCAACCCTTGACTTCCTCTGATCCATGTGCCGTAGGCTGTTAAGAGAGCAGAGCTCTTTGGAATTCCAGGAGTTACCTATTCCTTGACCCAGGTAAACTCATGATATGAAAGTTTCAGCCTTCTGTAGACACCCCCCATTAACATGGCCAAACTTAAAATTATTTATCTATTTCATTTTGCATTGAGGTGAGAATTTATTCTATTCCAGCCATATTATGCTGGTATAGCGGTTTTTGCAGTTTCATGTGTTCTCAGTGCATATTTGAATTATCTTTTTTCGCTGCTTACAGGGTGTGGTGAAAAATATCATACCTGCTATAGCATCCACCAATGCTATAATTTCTGCTGCCTGTGCTCTGGAGACCTTGAAGGTTGTCTCTGGATGTAGCAAAACATTAACAAATTACTTAACGTAAGTATGTTTTAACTCCTAATTCACGTACCTCCACAATGTTGCAGAGCATGTTCTGTTGTGTATGATCAATGATCTTATTGTCAACATTGCACTTTAATTTGATAACATCTTGAAGGTTAATTTTTTCGTATGAAAAATGTGAAATTCTGTCCCTTTTGAAGGTACAATGGAGTTGAAGGTCTGCACACCAAAGTGACCGAGTTTGTGAGGGACAAAGATTGTCTTGTTTGTGGTCCTGGTGTTCTTATTGAGCTAGAGGCTTCAGTTACTCTTAAAAAGGTTCTTTTTCTTTCTATTTCTCAGTTCCTTAAGATTGCTTATCACTCACAAGATTGTTCAGTAAAACACTAAAATACCTGATGAGAAACTTATGTATCACATCTCTAAAGCAGCTTAATAGAGTGCTTCCTAATCAACATTCAGAAAAAAGAAACCAGCTGAGAATTGGGGAGCAATATCCCGATATTGACCTAGTCGACTTCTCTTGCATGTTTGTGTTTGAACGCATCCTTGATATGACTATATTGTTGCGCCCAAGGGTGTGACTTAGTGGTCAAGGAAGTGGGTTACAAACCATAAGGTCTTAGGTTCAAATTCCAGTAGACAAACACTAGGTATTTTTTTTTTCCATCTGTCCCAATCTTGGTGGACAGAGTTAGTTGATACCTGTGCTGGTGGGACGTAGCAGTTAGCCCGTGGAATCAGTCGAGGTGCGCCTAAGCTGGCCCCGACACCATGGTTATGAAAAATACAACTATATTTGGTCAATCCCTGACAATGATCATTTTAGTGGTGTTAGTGCTGTACTACAGGAGTGCTGAGTGTCAAAACCAGAAGCCTTTATGAAGCTTAGTAGGAACTAGGAACAAGTAAAGGGAAAAACTCGTCCATAAAAGTTTGATCATGTCTGAAAGCCAATGAATACAAGTTTTTCATCTTAACAACCCAATATAATATTAGTAAAGAACCCATATATAATTGTAGAAGGAAATAATGCAAAATGGAATTTTTATGAGATAGCTTGGCATCTGCAGCAATTATATTAAACAATAATCCAAATATGTCGCCCTTTCCTGAAAGAAGAATCTCTAGTACAGCAGATAAGTTGGAAGTTCCTATTAAAATCTTCAATGTTCATATATGGATTGCTTGTAGTCAAAGTTGAATAATCACTTAGGACCTGATCATACTCTCGTTGGAAAAGAGCTCGATTGGACGATCTTTTGAGAAACTGAATAAACGTAAGAGAGCATATGTCATCTTCTTTTTCTTTATTTATGTGGGGGGGGGGGGGGGGGACG